CCCACCATGACTAAAACATCCTTCAACTAAAACCCTAGAAATCCATTGAACTTTGTACAAATCGAAGTGCCCCCCTCAGTTATGGTTAGACAAGTTGGTTGCACACGGATACCAATATTTGTTCAACAAAGCTATAAGACAAATTTTACCAGAAACTTGAGAAAAATTCAAAGGTTGGATTAAACTTGGTGAAATAAACTCGTGAATTTTTCACCAAACCCTCGAGCAATCCCCACGTTCTCACCAAAAAAGGATTGACGACAAATTTGCTGAGGTTACACCTGGGGAAGGTAAATAGGGTAGAGTGAAAACAATCGTTGATACGTGATCGAGAAGAATTGAGAGATTTGGCGTGTTGCCAGGGTCTTCTAGCTGATGCATGTGTCCGTCGATGTTCGAGCAATTCTTAAAGATCACTGAGGGGATTCAATCGGATAAAAACCACCAGAAATATTCCAACCCGCACGACTCTTGATTAATAATTCCGATCTGCCAGGTGAGAAGATGGATGATCGATTTAAAAATCCGTACCTCTCGCCAAAACCATCGAAACCCGAACGGAATTGTGAGGTACCATCGAAAAATTTCTGGAAAATTAATTCCCAGTTCGATGAACCGATATCACTATTCACGATTTACCCCAAAGCGCTATCCCGCGTTTCCATTAATATCAAACGTTTGCATTGAACGGATATCAGAATGATTTACGATCAGATGGACTGCGTTAATTGAAACATCCACGTACCAGCAAATCGATTGGGCTGTACATAGAGAGTAAATAACAAGCGTGTTATGCATATAAATACGTCTCATCTTACATCGAGATGAGAAATTTCTGATGTCAAGACGCACCTCCACCCCAATACCACCCAACCACCCACTCACACCCCCGGTACATCGATTTTCCACAAAACATGCATGTAATTCCATATTTCAGCTTCTCCCCTTGCATATTAAACACCTCGAAAACTCAACGTGACAAGAATACTCACCATTCGAGTCGTGAAAAAAAAAAATCTCTTGATCTCATTCTTTATTTTTCTCATTATCTAATCTCGCTAAAAGGTTTTCCAACCTGCAGTTGGATAAAACCCTTTTCGTGTGTTTTAAGCACGACCGCACGTGGTGTACCCGCACCCATTTTTTTTTACCTCCATTTGCGTTTTTTATTTTCCCTCTCGCTCGTGGTGTCTGCTTTATCCTCTTTTTATTATTTTTCACCGTCTCGTGTGGTTCTGCTCAATATTTTGGGCTTCGGGGGGAAAGGGCATTGGCAAATGTAAATCCAACCTTTCTCGTGGCATTTCACTTCGGTTTATCCTAGCAAAAGTCTGAGAGCACGCCCGTTGAAAATTTATATCTACCTCCTATACGTCTTTCCCTAAAACATTTGCGGTTGACTCCTGGTTTACCACTGGTACCCTATATACTGCCGACTGACAGAAATTGTGTGGCATTCGATCGTGCGGAATGACTCGCGTCATAATTTATATCGGGTGTTACTACCAAATTTTTCAGCTTCTTTCAATTTTTTTTATTTACTCCGTCAAAATGTTTTGGAGGTAATTTTTAATTGCACCGGAATTACGCAACTGTCACGGATATTTTTTGCGAATAACCGCAAATTTTTAGGGGGGAATCCCGGTAGGGGAAAAAATAGATAATCGATGGATGAAATAGTGATAGCAGTGAAAGATAACATGTCCATGAAAATTAGTCAAAGGGATTTTGGATGTTTCTGGTGAGACCAAAGCATTAACACCCCTTGTGTTAAAGTAACATCGCATGAATTATTATTAATCGGTGAACCATGGTCGGTGGCTTGTCGACAGTGCGGGAGGTTTGCAAATTAGCACATCTAGGATGCAATGTACACAGAGTTGTGTATGGAGGATAAAAAGCCCTCCCCCGTCATGAATATTCATAGCGTGTTTATATGTACATAAATCACGCTCGAGTTTCGACAGATAACTAAATTTTTTAGGTAATGGAGATCCATAACTGCAAAATGAAAATAAGAGGAAACAAGTTTGAATAAAACATCTCCAATCAACATCTGCTGGCAGAAGCTTTTCGTTATCCAAGAATGTCCGGTAGCTATTGATTTTTTTACTCGTGAAAACTTCACGAATACTATCTTCAGCTCCAGACGGTGAATTTTTATCACGGGTATTCGCTATTTTAAATGCATTGCTTATTAATTGAAGGAAAAAGTTGAAATGCACAAGTTTTTTTACTACAATTCAGTCTCTCTTTCTACGGACAACTAAATATTCATGAGTATTCGCAGTTTCATAGTTGCCAGAATAATATTATCATTCAACTTCTCTCCAATAGAGAATTGGAGAAGTTGAAAAGAAGGGTAGAGAAGTTGAAAAACAATTAAGCTGCACTCTCAGTGCCAATTTTGATAACAAACGATAACTGTTGCACTCGTAATTATCGAAAATGGCGTTCGAGCTTCCTCCCTCGAGATAAAACTCGTGAAATCAATACTCATTATTTCATGAATTAGTGCCCAAGGGATTTTCTCTCATCTCTGATTTGTCCCTGGATTTGAGGGGGCATTTTCAGGCAGATTAAAACCATCCACTGGCGTTCAACTTCAACTAGTTCAACTTTGTCTGAGTTCAATTGGGCTTAAACTTTTCGACTTGTGTCCAAACCCCACCACCTGGTACTTTCGTACCGTAGGAGAGTACCACTCCAATGGTACACTCGACAAATCATACAGAATCACATTTTCCGAGCGAAAAAATCCAATCTTTACGAGTTAACTGCTCCCAAGTGGCACTCATCCCACGGTTATTTACCCCTCTTCCAGTTTCATTCGATAAAGGATTCAATAAATTTTCCAAAATATTGAGGTAATTGGGGGGTGGGGTGCTCTGCGTTATCTTGGCGAATCGAGCTTGTAATAAAGTCAACTCAACTTTTACTATTACTTTAATAGAGAATTCTTGTGGGGACGGGGTGCAAGATTAATGGATACTGCACTTTGGCAAAATCCGTTGAAACTCCCGGAATATTACCTGTCGATGCCCACTGACAACATTTTTTTTATCAATCCCAAAAGACCATTATTTTGAAATTAACAAAATGAATTAATGACGTACGTCATGTACAAAATTGCATTAAATTTTTTCTACAAATTGTAAATAATGATAATTTCCAAAAAAATGTCCAGTACATGCAGTGAATATTGAAAAAAAATCCATTGCCTCTTGCATCTCGTCAATATTCAGAGTGATTAATAAAATATCCAGCGCCCACCAAAACGAATATCCCGCACTCTGTTGAACATATAAATCAGGTGAAACGTCATGGACAACTGGACGACTCCCATCCATGGTTGGCATTTGCAGGGATGAAGTGGAATAATTAATTTTGAATCAATTGAGTCCATTTGGTTCACTGGACCATCAGATTCTCCAATGGATGAGGTAAAAAAAAAAAGGGGGCATCAGATGCAGGAGGAGATCGGCACCACGGATCCAGCGATAAATCATCATTTTCCACCAATCATGTTAATTATTCATGGATCATTGTTCATTATTGTTGGAATTAATTCGACGGATTTGGCGAAACCCATTGAGTAAACCTAAATGCTCGGATGGCCGTGTCGACGTGGGGGCATATATGTCCAAAGATAACCGAGTTACCATTGAATTTCTACCGGGAAAGGCCAACCAATAGGTGGCACATGTACATCCAAAACCCCATCCTAGGCCCACTCGATAGTCAGTTTTAATTAATGCAATTTGCAATGCCGCTAACTGCACGACGTGCACGGATTATCTCCGGAAATCTTTCTCAATCCTCTGAGCGGTGGGAGAGCACAAACGAACATAGAGTACCGCAATTGTTCAAGCGTAATTTACAATTTTCACTGGAATAAATTAATAATACTTACACTCGCTATATATTTCGCAGTGCCATTTAATATATTCCAATTGGTCATTGTTAATCAATAGGACAGAGGGATGAAAATTAATTTTCCATTAATATCGCATTGAGAATTAAAAAGGTAAAGAGATACGACATTCAAAATTTTTATCACAAATGCATGATTCAATTATTTAATTATCGGGAATCGAATATTTCGTTCTATTTCAGGTTTCAGTTATCTGAATTTCGATGAAATATTCCTCTCTGTGGATTATCGTTTTTTTAATATTCGACTATATTTAATGTTTTGAGGATTTTCGGTGAATAGAATAGAATTTTTTTTTATGGTAGACCACGGGGGATTACGATTATCACTGGGACGTATTATTATTGTCTTTTTTTTTAATGATTTTATTTCAGGCTTTGTGGGAATGAGTCCCTGTAGGATTGTAAATGGTGTTGGGGAAGTATGACAGAGTGAAATATTTTTATCGAGTTATGAAAGAAGTAAACATGGACAATGGGTTTTTTTATTAATTAGGTTTGTAGGGTGGGTTTTATGGTCTTTTGTGGAGTGTGCCATTTCGTTCGAAGTTTGTCCCTCGGGGGAGCCTATCACCCCTCTTCAACCCTCTTTTCGTTCCCTTTCAGGGACATCCCAGAAGTGGGAGGGGCTTTTAGTCCTGGAATCGTGGGACACTGGTGAATTTCCCAATCGATGGGGAATTATTGCATTAATCGCAAATACTCCGACGTCGGAAAATGTCACGGCTCAATTCATTGGATTTTACGAATTTTTTTTTGCACTGTAAAATAGTATATTTCGTTACAAGTGTGGAAAAACCACTTTTCCGCACATCGTGATGAAAAATATTTTCCAATCACAAATACCGTAATCTGGAATTAAAAAAAAATGTAATCGGAATATTTTTCTAAAATTTTCAAAAAATTTCTGGAAAACTTTTCAGAAAATTTTTTTTTTGAAAATTTGGAAAAAATATTCCGATTACAATTTTTTTTACCCGGGTTAACAGGTGACAATTAATTCCAAATTTAATTACTTTAGGTCAATATTAATCCCAAAATTAATGTTAATCCCTGTCTTGTTTCAGTGGCTGGGTCTGGGAATAATGGCGGTGGGTGTCTGGGCCTGGAAGGAGAAGGACACATTCAACAATCTATCACGTCTAACAAATATCGCCCTGGATCCAGCATTCATCCTCATTCTAGTCGGTGAGTCATTCACAATGCAATAAGTTTTCTCAATCCTGGAAAAACTTTACCACCGAGACATAACTCGGACCCAACAATCCTTCCCCACTGTTGCCCAATTGACATGAGTAAGGAGAATGTAACTCGAGGATGTACAAGACCAAAAAGCTGTCCCATTTCTTCATGTTTCTTCATCCCCAGCATCACCAGTGCACCATTGAATACGTATTGACGAGAGTAGTTTGGGGTCATGCTGAGGATATCGTGGGGTTGAGGGAAAAAAATCTTGGAGAAAAAAAAGAAAATGGAAAGTTGGAAAAAGTTCTCGCCAAGGAGGCGAAGAGCCCGGAAGTACGGATTCTCGTTGGTCCGCAAAATGTGGCCACCTTCGTAAAGTTGATTTCGTTGTCTCCCATGGGGGCCATTGGGGGATTAACGGCGGTTTACTCTCCTCTTTCCTCGGTGGTACACACTAGTTTTGTTGTATCGCTCCAGAAAGTTTGGTGAAATCTTGGGGATGGAGTAAAATCCTGGAGAAGTTCTCTGACGTTACTGGTTACCTCCGCCCCGTACCCACCAACTCAAAGTGGAAAAAGAAGTCATATAATTTCTGGACTACGGTGACACACAAAAAGGTGCAAGTCATATATTTCGGAGGGGAAAAGAATTGCGGAAGCGAGGCCGAGTGATGCATTGCAGCCTGAATTCACCGGTGGAAGAAATTAAGTTGAAAATTTTGGGAGAATCGAGGAAAAATTCGAAATACCCAAGTCCTAGCTCTTCGTGAACTTTTTTCAAAATCCCAATATCTCATCGACCAACTGTTGATCTCGCATATATTCACATTTATTCGTATTATTGATTATGATAACGCCTCAGGAAAGAGGAAGATATAAAAGTGGAAAAGGAAAATTGCCATTCCGGTCCCAAGGGCCAGTGGCAAAAGTGACTTTTTCATTATCCTAGGGTATGAATGTGCGAGAGATCAATCATTAACCAAAAATCGTCAACAGTGGTGATAAAAACTAGCCATTAAACGTTGAAAATTCCCCGGGTAATCGTCCAACAGTGTCAGAAGCAAAAGTTTTCTCGTAACAACTGAGTAAAATAGTTCATAACATTTTGAAATTTGATGGCAACCCTGTCTGCACGCCCTGTCCACGCACTCTAGGCGACACAATGGGCTTTAGTTATCCCCAGAGTTTCTCATATTCAAGAGCAATCACGATCACTATTGAAACAGGATGTATTTAGAGAGTTTCGTGAATTTCATGGACTAGGTGCATTCTGTTGGAGAGACTGCATTCACGTCCCATACGTCGAGCTGAACTCATTCTAACTGGTCCTTTATCCACGACAACGTAAATTCGTCAGTATTTCCAGCCTTCCTCTTGTCTGGATTTTCAGTCTACAACATTTGTCCATGTTTGAACGTCAAATACATGGTGAGAGTCCCTCATTGAGGATGGGTGCGTTGGTAACTCCTCACTGAAGACCTGCCTCATTGGAGACACTCCTCTCCTCATACACTGATAAATTTCTCCCCCCGCGAGCATAACACGTGAATATCCAGCCCATGGGAATATACCATTTCCTCGATTATAATACCATTGTTGTATTCCCTGTAGGTACGGTCACATCCGTCATTGGTTTCACTGGATGCGTTGGGGCACTCAGGGAAAACACGTGTCTATTAGCCGCTGTGAGTATTTCACCATCAAATTGCATTTGTTTCAATAATTCACATCATCGTGCCTTTTAAATCTTACTTAATCATTTTTATGGATCAATCCCCAGATAAATTAATATGCCCATTGATATTTTCATATTAATGCAATAATTAACGTGAGAATATATTCCATTAGTATGATATCAATTCTGAATTAAAATGCAGTATTTGCTTTTTCTGCAACCGAAATTTTTCCGCACGATTAAGTATTGACTATTGAATTTATCCAAAGTAAAAATTTCAATTTTTCTCCGTACATATCAATTATCGTGGCATTCGTAATTATATTTTACAGTACGCTGTATTTTTGGGTGGATTGCTGATGCTGGAGCTGACACTGGGTGTGCTGGGATTCATTTTTAAAGACTGGGTAATTAAAAATTCCACTACCCTCCCACCGTACATTTCCACCCAGATAGCTCCATTAAAATGTCGATAAAAGGCCAGTGGAGAGGTTTCATAAAGAGGCATTGAAATAAAATGGTTATAAAAAAGCACGGTATAAACAGTGATAATGAAGTATGGTACCGGGTCTCCATTTCAACCATGATAATAACACGTAAGAGACGGAAATAGTAACCCCTTGTCTGCCTTATGGCTGGGAATCCCGAGGGAATGCTTTTCTCGTATAGACTCGTTGTTTTACGACTAAAATTTCCCCATTCGCCTTCGAGCTTTGTTTTATAGGGGTGAAACAGATGCATTTCCTGAAAATATTATCAATTACCAACGAAAAAAGTCAAGCTGATAAATGGATCTGGATAGAGTCACTATTTTCTTTTGAAAACTGGAAAAAATTCCACGGAAAGTCGACAGTCATTTTCACCGACAATTAACACCCGCTTGCGTCACCAGTCATGTGTCAGCCATGATCTATCTCTCACTGAATACATTAACGCCACTCCTATGAGCCGACAGTTTAATTTTTCCCTCACTCAAATTTCAAGTTATCTCATACGCGCAACTGCATACGCTGGGATAATTAATTCTCGTAGAAACGTGAAAAAATTCGTCGTAAATAATGTTTCAGATCAAATCTCAAGCGACTGGTGGGTTTCAAGCATTTATAATTCATTATCGAGATGATCCAGACCAGCAGAATCTCATCGACTGGATCCAGGAGGATTGGGTTGAGTATTAAAACCACAAATTCGCACAAAATATTCTCAGGGATTCATAATTAATCACTGAATTTTTAATGGACATCTATTAATCACCGGCATAATCCTGGCTGAATGAAAAAGCGTTTATCGAACCCTGCGAACGTTTTGTGGAGAATTTTGGTTGAATTTCGGTGATGAACGGTCGGATGCCCTTTGGATCCTGGAACCATTGCTTTTACTGGTATATTAATAATTACAGTTGCAGTGCTGTGGGATAGAGGGTCCAAAAGACTGGGATAGAAATAACTATTTCAACTGTTCATCGATTGAAATTGGGTCTAGTGAAGCCTGTGGCGTGCCTTTCAGCTGTTGCAAACGGGAGCCCAACGTGAGAAGTGTAAACTAAAATTTCATTGTTCAATCAAAATAAATCGTGAATCATTGAAGCATTGGCTTTTAGGGCTGCACTGATGGAGCAATGCTTTTGCCTTTTTCACATTTATACAGCACGCGAATTAATCGATACCGAATGTAAAAGAAACACTGCAAATGCACTCAGAGAAATTTTCCAGAATTAATTTGAATAAAAATTCCAATATTATGACAAATTTTTTTTTAGCAATTTGAACAATTTGTTCCCTCAGTGCAGTGTGCACACACTCGCTCATCAGGAAAAGCATAAATTGGAGAGGTTTCGGTTCAATTGAGCTGCATGAAAATAATTGAAGCCGGTATACCCTGCGTTTAATTGGTTAATTCTACGAATTTCAGTAAATCGTTGAAATTTTAATTTCACAGGAAATAACTAAAAACAAGCAGTGCGGATACAACGTGCGCAAACCCGGCAATGTAAGTTCATTTTTTTCCATCAAAACTCTATATTTTGTTGAAAAACCTCCGGGCTAAAGTTTTAATTAACAAAAAACTTTAATTCGACAACTCTGCTTTCTCTCTTGATAATTCTGATTTGTTTGAAGAGTAATAAATTGCCCTTCAACTTTAACGTTCCTAAAATGATCAGTGAAATATGATAATTGGATCTTCCTGCTGCAATACTCACTATCTGAACAATCCATTCCTTACTAAGTCCTCTGTTTACTCCTCTCCTACCAACCCTCTTCCTCTCGAGATTTTGGCGTGGGTGTAATTGCTTGGGAGATACGAGGCGCGGATAAGGGAAGTTAAATGGGAAATTTCATGAGAAGGTGATTATAATGTCTTACAAGTTGCTGCTTGAGAAACTATCGAAGCTGGGAGATGCATTTAACTAATTAAAGAAGATAAATCATATCAGTCATTCGGGGCTAAACAGCCGAGAAAAAGGGAGACGTCCAAGAATAATTAACCGGTCATCCATCAAAATAATACAACTCAAAATATTATTTCGTAAAATGACAACCAAAAATATTGCAATTATTAATTAATTTCACTTGTTAGTATGAAAACAATTTTTCCGTCAATGTGCGGAATTTTTTTCTCACCGTAAAGTTCAAAGTATTTGCAATTACGCGAAAGAATTTTGTCGTAATGATAAAAAGAAGAGAATTGAAACGATATGATATTGAGGAAGTTCCAGCGCATGCCATCGATTGTTTCCCATTTAAAATTTCCCATCGGGTGACTTTATTTCCCCGATCCCGGCCAGACTTACGACCATAATATCCTGACTATTATCGCCATAATGTCAAATGTTGGGTGAATCATATTTCTCCACTGTACCCCTCATCTAAATCACTTCAACTTATTTCCTTGGGAAATGCAGCCAGCAGAGAGGAGTATATTTGAAAGGGGTTGCCTGAGGGCGGGTGAGGAGTGGCTAGAATTGAACCTCGTGCCAGTTGCTGGTACCATAGTCAGCACAATGGTTCTACAGGTACAGTTTTACATCGCTATCGGCGAATATCGTCAATTCTGCATTGCAAATAATATCGGCCATTGTGACCAAAGTTTCAGCATGTCTGTAAGCACCAGTCTATTGTTGTTTATTCAACCATTGAATACCCAAATATATCACTGGCCTGAAAAGCCCCTTGAATATTTTTTCATGCGATCTCTCAAAAGTCTGGATCTAATTACCCCAACTAATTAACTTGGATCGTATTAAAAAATTATTCTATACCCCCCGATTTAGTAGATACAATTGAATTATTATTTTGTTCACATCACTGTGTAGATTGTGACGCATTGCAAATCACAATTTTTTCAACCTGCACGAGGTAAGTTTAACATCGATAAAATACAATAAAAAGCGATGGAAGCATGTGTGTAATGGATCGAGTGGTGGCGCAACGAGAGGTGAAAAAAAAATAATGAGAGAAAAAAAAGTGTAATAACACATATAGATTTCACGTGATTCCCAGGGTAGGTTTTACTCACTCTCTAGCTGGTTTCCACCCAGTGGTTAGGCCATAAAAGCCGATAATGTATCCGTTATTACGATTGAAATGCCGGGGTTTTCGGCTATTTACTGTTTAGCAAAACTCAACAAGCTGTAGATGCTAAAAAGCTCGGTTGTGCAAACTGCATTTATGCCGAACCGTCACGCAATCCAATAATGGGGTATTTCTTTTTTGTCGTATCCGTGGGGTATAATCGTGGGTAATAAATTACTTGGACACTTGCTGTGGGGGAGGATTTCCCTCGTGGATGACGGAAACGATAGGGACATGCTCATGTCCACAAATCATCCTGGTTGAGGGTATTTCATTAAAAAAACATTGACATAACTAATACCAGACGACTTCTAACACTTCAGCAGCATCGGTAAGTCGTAGAAATTATTTTTAGCTTTTCTTTTTTACATTTATTTTGCAGAATTCAGACGTGACGATACATGAGAAGGGTTGTATTCAGGCGGGGGAGGAGTGGGTGGAGAGAAATTTACTTGTGATTGCAACCAGCGCTGTCGTCACGGCTTTTGCACAGGTAGTATTTATTATCCCGGCATGGAGAGCTTAGCTCCTGTTATATATATTTAATTCTAGGCAGAGAGAGACGAATTGAGAATTAACTCGTATTATCCCGCCTGATTTTCGTGAATTACTGCTGTGTGTTACTCCTTTTATTGTTCGTTCGTTGTACTTTTTTGTGCATGAGATGTGACTCAGCTTTGATTTATGGTGATAATTGATGTTTGCGATGTGAATTACCATTTGCTGGAGTAATTGCTAAACGATTACGTCAGCTGATGCATTGATTATGGTAATATTCAGTGGCAACTGAAGTTTCTGGGTTTCGATTTTTCTCGAATCAAAAAATTTATTTTTAAAACAAATTTGTCGATACTAAGGAATTTCACATTCTTCTGATTAATTATTTCGTATTATATTTTGCAGATCCTTGGAATTTGCTTCGCCCAGAATTTGCGGGCCGATATATTTGCGCAAAAGGCAAAGTGGCACTGACAATCACGTGCCCCCACGGCGGTTTAGCATCTTGTACTGATGGATGCTGATCGATCACGTTGATCAAGGCAAGTTCTTGAAGGGTTTGCATTTTGGAAATTGCCTAGGTTGTTGGAGTTGTGCTAATACAGCTGTTGAAAAAATTTCATCTTGAATTGGAGCTCTCAATGGGACTGGGTCAAGCCAGAAAATGAAGATTGGCTGTTGGTGATCGACAGGTGGAGTTGGCAATTTCGAATCGATACAACAGTCCGGGGTTAAGGTATTACTCAGTAAATTCGGTGGACCCGTGTGGTTGTTGATGGGGTAACTCTCAAAGCACTTGTTTGAACGGTTTTAACTGGATTTAAACCACTGGACAAATCGGGTAAATTCCGTAAATATTGGCTTCCCAAAGGGAGAGATTATTCTGGGATTATTCAAAAGCGATTGCTAATTATCCTGTTAATCGAGAACAATTGTTTTCGTTTGTGAACTATCAAAAGCTACAAAAGTTCATTCCAAATAAAAAATAACTTTCGCTAACTTTTTTTAATCAGTGAAGTTGCTAAATCCACAAATTGAAACACAATTCATATTCACCATATTTCTTGACCATCGAGTTATGTCGATAACTATCGCAAATTGAATTTACGGGAAAATTTGGATCCACCGAATTTCAATTAATTCGCTGCCTTTCACCGATAACAGTCGACCCCCACAGGAACGAAGGAATTAATTTCCCAATAAACCTCTCGATTTGAGTTGATGAATCAGTTTGCAGTCCACTTGTCGATCACACAAATACTGTTTCAAATTGAGAGAGACCCTAGGCAAATTGAAAAGAGCACTTGAACTTGATGTTGATCGACGTGAATGTCGTGGGGGCGCAGCGAGAAATCAGGGCCAATCTCGTTGCAGTATCGAAAATCACTGAGAACTCGTGCATTATGTGCGAGGCATCAAGGCCACCCTAAGACAACCCTCAGAACCAAACTTTATCGTAACGCCCGATTGGGCGTTAAATTAGTTGCTCCAACTACTTTCTGATGAGAACGTGTTAAAAGGGGGTTCCTCGTGGAATTTATGGTGAGGGGAGGTGAGAGGGTGGTAAACTTATATCGATTATCACCCCCCTTCAACTCCCACTCCCCCAATTGCACGATTCATGTTCAAGCCCGAGTAATAGATTTTATCTCAATTTTCCTTTGAATTTCCCGGGATTCGTTTTCACTTTTTTTTTGCCTCCAAGTTTTAATAAATCTAATCATCGGTCGCTTGCCTGTACCTCCAGGAATTTACCTCCTCCGATGAAGATTGAGCAAGGAAAAATGAAGTGGAGAATAAAAATAAATGGCAATGATGTATAGACGTTAAATGTACAGTTCATCGTGGAAAGTCTTTCGCGAGGGGGAATTATAAGGGGAAAAAATCTTGGAGCAAATAGCACAAATTTTATTACGTTTCGTGTCGTTCATCCATTGATGGAAGGGAAAGAGGAAAACTTTGACTCTGTTATTCGATTTATTTTTTCATTCCCTTTTTTTCTTTTTTGTTTCCGAATAAAGTGATTTCCGGGACGGGTGGGAGAACATCAGTTGTTTAATTTAATAGTTGTGTCTCGCGGTTCGATTATTTCAATAATTGGAGGAAATCGAGAGGTGGGGAATAATCAGTGGAGATGTTGATGGATCAATTGTTTTTTTTTCCCAATGCTTTGGTGGATTTATCCCGGGGCACTTGCGATCTGTTGGCTACCGGGAAAAAAATACGTTCAACTGCCCATTGAAAAAATTGTGGAGAAAACTACTATATTTCTAAATATGTATATCTTAATTGACTGCGAGCAGTTTGCGACGGTGTAAAATAGTAGGAATCACTCATTATGCTATTGCGAGGTGATTGGTGTGTACAAAATGATATCGAAGCGCTTGTTCAGCGGGTGAGTTGATGAATGGGGATTGATCGTTAATTCGAGATTTATGTGAGTAGAATATTCGATTTGAGCGGTTCAATCGAAAAACTTTTTTTTTATTTTGACGAACGTTGGGGAAATTAATTACGTTTGTATCTTTTATTCTGTGTGAATTTTGTATGGATTACCTCTGACGCGCTGAAAAACTCAAACGAAGTCATTAAATCATAAGTTGAGAGATTTGTTCGATACTCCATTGTCCACATAACGGACAAGACGAGATGCTTGCATTAACCGTTCTTTTTTTACATGACATGTAATCGTGATAATTTCAGTATACTGACACAAATGATTTTTATTGAATGAATTAATAAAAATCATCTCGAAGTACTAAATCTAATCGTTGATTTTCTAATCAACTAAAGTAAACGAATTATTTGTTGTTTTTTAAACCGCTGTTATGCGTATCGATAAACGCTTGTGAAGGCGATTTTTTTTTTTAATTACTTGAGGTATAATTGACGGGGTTAACAAAAATGATATGCATAAACCACCGCAATAACCACGTACCTCTGTTAATTTCTGTATTAATAATTCACCTTTAAATAATGTTTATCAATACGGGACAAATGGGTTTGGCAAGGCTGTGTGGTGCGGGTAGATCATTAAATGAAATACCCGCGAATACATTATTTTTACTGCCATTGGCACAATTTTGCTAAGCCCAAGTGACATTCCAATTTAATTATAAAATCCATTTCACTGGCTGTTCATAATGAAATATTAATTTTAATTGATTGATACTGTTAACCTGATTCAATATTCTGTTATTTGTCGAATATTCGGATCATGTGACACGGTAAAATGAGTTGACTTTAAAATAAATTATTATGCTGGCTAGCGAAGAAGCTAAATGCATAATTATTCAAAGTCAACTCATTTTGAAGTAATTGAGAATGATGTATTATAATGGATTTTTAATTGCCTGTTTTATTATATCCTTAATGATACTACAATAGCTGAATTACTGCCGCTGGATTATACATTGATGGCAATTCACATGCAATTTATTTTTGAATTTTTAACGTGCGAGAATGATGAAAAATGGGTGCTTAAGAACAATATCAAATTAAACTCGTAATTATTCAATTTGTTTTATTCTTTTATTTCACGCCTTTATTTTTTTTTGTTTGTTTTATAGGCAGATACTGCGAGTTGAATCAATATTTTTATTTGATTTATCAGCGAATAACATCGTTACAGAAATTATTAGAAATTCCGAATGAATAATTGTATATCAAAATTATTTGCAGAGCCACGAGATTGCAGTGTTTCATTCGAGCTCCAAATAAAGGATAAACGGTTTTTTTTTTCAAATTATTTTGTTTCTCGTTATTTCTCTTTACCGTTTGTACAACGTTTAATTGGATTTTACCCTCAATTGGTGGAAGTTTTTTTCTGTTCTGCTCGTTGCGAGTGTAATGTGAAGGTATATGAAGATAAACTTAATTGAATATCGCGTAATAAATTGTAAGATTATCGAATGTGTTGAGTTCTTTAATCATGTAAATATTGTAAACATACTTGTAAAGAATCTGAATAAATAGTAGCAATTGAATGATCGCTTGACCAATAAAAGTGCTTTTTTGTAATTCCATAATTTCCATGATTTTCCGTTTTTTTCCTTGAAATTTTCAGAGCAATTTTTCAGCAGTCGGAGGAATTTGAGACCAGTAAGAAATATCGCTGTTTTAATGGGGGATTCATCACCCAGAATCTGTGCTTTGTACAAACTGTGTTTTCAATCATTATTTACAGTTTCAGCTCACATCAAACTCGGTACACTAATTCGTGTCCGCTTATTGCCATTAATTGCACATTTTAATGAATTGGAAGTTTTAATAATCCGCTTAATTGGCCCGCAATATTTATGCGTACTGCAATATTATTTAATGAAATATTAGAGACGCCATACCCAGAGGGCATCATAAAAATCGCTCGAAATTAACGCGTAAAAAAGTCCTATAAATTCTGAAATCAATATCAATTTCAATCATTTTCTGATGATAATTAATGAATTATCTCTCTACAAATATTCATAAATCCCCGAGCAGAGATAAATGCATGCATCCTACTATAATCAACAAAATTTGCTGTTGATTCATTCGTTTAAAAAAATGCGATAAAAACTAAAAATAAAGATCGCTGTAAATCTTGAATCCTCAATTTTCCAAATCAATTGGAATTACTTTTTTTGTGGAAGAGTAAAAAATATAAGAGCCCTCGTAATTCCTCCGTCGCAATCCTGATAATTCATTCAGATGCACGCGTAAAAAAATTCTATGAATTCTGAAAATCTATAATAACCCATAATAATAAATTTTCAACATATGAAAAATACCCTTTCGCAATAATTAATGTGTGAAGACTTCGAACGCAATCTTGCCCACCATCTCCCCCCGAAAAACGTCTAAGCTTCTCTCAAACAAGAAGTTACACTCCTAATAACCAAAACACCCTCACCATAATTAATTCATGGCCCCAAGCCAGAGCCACCCTGGACAGTGCATGAGGCTCTCCCTCAGCCTTCCACAACAGTGCTTAACCCATTTAATCATCTCCACAACTCAACAGAATTCTGTTGACTCACTCAGAGCCATTCCCAAGATAGTCTTGGTTTGGCTTCTCACTCATCCTCGATCTACCTCGTCTCAGTGGTTCGATGCACCTGATCGAGGCGAGAGCAACGTCCTTGGACATCCTCGCCCTGTTTCTGTTAGTTTTTATCGATGAAGTGCCTCGATCGAGTAAACTGGGGGTTTTACCCCTGGTGGACTCCTCGGTGGACTTTTCGTTGATCCAATCACTGGCACACCTCCTCCTGGGACTTGAAGCCTCACAATCGTAGCGATCTTGATGCTTGACACTCTTTATCAGATTTAGCTTTTCGTCTTGGGTTGGCATTTCCACGAGTGTCCTTGACCTCTTCGGCGTCTCGTCTTCCTCATTCCTCTGAGGTTTTTGGAATTTTTCGGGGTGAGGGAACGAGCTTAAGGGATTCAAGGTGAAAGTATGCTGCCAATAGGGGTAGGGATAGGCAGAGGGCGACAAGAGGGGCATTGGAGTTCCTGGACCTGGACAATTCGCTCTCTGATGCGAGAGGAGGATCGAGGGATTTTGTGGAGTAATGGATGGATTTCTGACGTCATCGGCGAAATTGTTGTCAGCACTTGTTTTGGGTGGAGAGAGGGGTGAGGGTCGGGGGAAAATCTCGGAGCCAACGGTCGGGAGTATATCGCTTTTCTTGATTTTTACAGGGACAGTGCTCTGGGGACGAGGGTAAAATAACGGAAGACTGACCTCCAATTGACCTGAAGACCGCACGGCTGGGTCGTGGGGATTTTCCCGAGGATTTTCCTCCGTTGAAGAATTTTTACCTTGAGAAAATGATGTCACGAGGTTATGAATTTCCTCGGATATATTGGATTGGAAATGATAATAGAAAATACTATAGTAGTAATAGAAAATACCCAACGAAATATCAAAGGAGAAATAAAAGAGAAATAACAGAAATTGGTAAGATCACTCACCCATTATGAACTGCGTCTCGAGATGTTCGTCAGTTTCTGGAGTTTAAGTAACTGTTCTTCCGATAAACACAACACAAACACCACTTCGAGGATTAATTCCCCACACAAAGGACAAGAATCGCGCTTTTTCTGTTTGAAAAACATTTCAACTGTTACGATGTCAACCAACACTACCGGCTCGTGGCGATTTTGAAACGAACGGAGAAAAATAAAATTGAAATACATGGCGCCATCTTTAGCACGCTGCAAACAGACGCAATCCTGCAATCATAACCTTCCCCGTTGTGCAGGAGTAAACATCCAATTGCATTGAAAAGAGTAATTAATAATTAATAAACAAAATGACGAATTCTAACGCCGATCAGTCCCTGATGGATAAATCGATGAGAAGCGTATTTGGTAATTGTGATTTCACACGACTTTTCACCTGACTCGGATATATTGTTAAATAAATTTTGACATTTTCAGTGGGAAATATACCGTACGAAGCAACAGAGGAGAACCTGAAGGATATTTTCAGTGAAGTCGGACCAGTGCTGTCCTTCAAGTAAAAAAATAAATCATCAATTGTTCACTTTGATTATTGATTGGAATGGATAATTAAGGGGCCAGTAATTCTCCTTCAAAAATTATTCGCTCCAATCAGTATGAATTCTCGTGACAGCATTGTTATCAGATGTTCATTACATTTCATGTTCATTACAGATTAGTGTATGACCGAGAAACAGGAAAACCCAAGGGATACGGCTTCTGCGAGTACAAGGATCAGGAGACAGCCCTGAGTGCAATGAGAAATTTGAATAGTTACGAGATTGGTGGACGAACCTTGAGAGTCGATAATGCGTGTACAGAGAAGAGTCGTATGGAGATGCAGAGTCTTCTGCAGACACAGAGCACTGAGAATGCTTATGGAGAGGCTGTGCAGTCTGATAAAGCGCCAGAGGCCATCTCCAAGGCAGTAGCTGCACTGCCACCAGAGCAGATGTTCGAGCTGATGAAGCAGATGAAGCTCTGCGTTCAAAATAATCCCAATGAGGCGAGACAGATGCTCCTGCAGAATCCACAGCTGTCTTACGCCCTTTTGCAGGCTCACGTTGTCATGAGAATAGTGGATCCTCAAACTGCTGTTAGTATGCTCCACAAAGCGAATACCATTCCACCAGTGATCAATCCCAGTGAACATCCACCGATTCCAACATTTCAACCGAGAATTGAGGAGCCCTGGGCCACTGCCAGGCCCATTCCTCCGGTCAATCCACCTGCACCCATTTTCAGTGGTAAAGACGTTGACTTGAGGACTCTGGAGAGACCTATCGATCACAGGCTCACGAGAATGGACATGGATCTCAGAACTGGAACACAGCCACCCGTCGCTATTGTACCTCCAGTCATTCCTTCAATGATGGACACACGACCTCCAGTCTTCAATCCACCAGACAGGTAAGTCCTATAAATTTTGCTGATATTACCAAGAAAATTAATAGGTTCACTCCTTTAATTAGCACTCTTCCTGCGGAGGGAGTCGAGAGGTTTAAACAATTTTAATCACTTCTCAATGACTCTATCTGTCTTCATCATTATCATTGAAACACTCTTGTTTTTTCACAGTAGCTTCGGTCGAGATCCAAGAGGAGATCGATTTGGGAGAGATCCTCGCGATCTCAGAGACCCCAGAATGACAGTCGATCCCAGGATGAATAAATCCACTGGTAATAAAAAAAACTGCAGTCTAAAATCAGTAATTAATTGTCCTTTGATGCGGAAAGTCATCGAGTATCTGATTAATTTCAGCTCCAGCTCTTACACCTCCTCAAGTTCCTCGTCCAGTGCTAACACAAGTCGTTGCACCAACCAATATCACTGCAGTGAATACAACAACTCCGACAAGTGGATTTTCTACGTCCAGTTCTGCTGCTTCGAGACTCATGGCAGGCATGTCACCGGCTGGAAGTATTCCCAGTGGAGCATCTGACCAGGAGAAGGTGAAGTTAACACTCCTAAGTTTATCGGGAAGACAATAAACTTCACTTTATTGTCTAAATTGAAATAATTTTTTCCCATTACATTTCTGATGTTCGGATTTTTTGTATTAATATTCCAGGCTGCATTGATAATGCAAGTGCTCCAACTAACGGATGACCAGATCGCCAAGCTCCCTGTGGAGCAGCGCCAGAGTATTCTCGTCCTCAAGGAGCAGATCGCCAACAGCACTCCAAGATAATTTCCATTATTTCTCGTTTTTTCTTCCGTGTAAATAAAGACCTATGGAAATCGCACAGGGATTTTAATAAATATATGATTCGGCATTCTACCATTTGTGTTATTTTACTGAAATTTTATGTCAGAATTTCTGCTTTACATAATTACACATTTTCGAATAATGAAAAAAATTTGATTTTTTTCTCTTAGTAATGCAAAAATTTGAAAGAGCTTTCCAGAGGATTGTGAATTAGTGAATAGCTCCCCTGATACTTTTTTGAAAATTTTGAATTTTTCAATTTTAGTGAATACTTTAAAAATTGTGATGGTCCCCTGATATTTTTGTGGCGTCCTTTCTCCCTTGGGGTGAGATATTACAACGCCAGTGGGGTCACTAAAACCCCCAGGACTGAGTCTCTACTTTAGTCAATCCTCTCTGCACAAGAGCATCATTTCAATATGGCAGCCTCCAGTGTCATCGACATAACCAAAAAATATCAGAAATTCCGACCAGAAATCGGAGCTACTCACTCCTATTAATTCTATTTATTTTACACCTCATTCACCAAAAATAAAGTCATCAATCAAGAAATCATAGGGAATAAAAATAATTCTCCATAAATTCCTCCCAGAAATTCAGCAAATCTGGATGACACCAAGGAAAGGATGATCGCAGCCTCAGATCCGCTGGTGAGCATTTGAAATAATTATTTTTAATTCATAACAAGAAGGTGGAATAATTTTATTATATCACATATTTCGCTGCGAATTTAATCTTCGTCTTGAAAAATTAGAAAATTGTCCGGTGATAGAGTATTAAAGTGAAATAATTCAAATCGAATATTTTTCCTAATTATCGATTCATTTACGAAAGCTATTCACACAGTGAATATTCCCTGAGATTCTTTAACCAGAAGGTAACTTTTCTCCAGGAATATTCACCAGGTGGTCGTGAAACATACAGACGCCACCCAGGTTCAGTGATTCACCAGCAAAATGGTGAGAATCGAACCCTGCAAAATGACAGTGTTCTCCTTCAAAAGTTCAGTCAAGTAAACATTTCGGACAAGTCCCTGAAGGAATTTTGGTCGACTCGTGAGACACAAGTTCACGGCGAGGAGGAGCTCTACTGCTCCGGCAAAGTGGCAGTGCATTCAAGGGGTTCACAACTCACTCGAGTCTTGCGTACGAGTTACACCTGTGACACAGATATAAAGCATGCCCTGTGGTGCACCTTCTGCACGAAGCCCCCAAGCCACACCCTTTCACCCCCAGTCCCACCCCAGCAACCACCTGAAGATCAAGATGCACCTGAGAAAACAGTGGAGTGCATCTGCCTGCTGGACTCATACACCCTAAAAGTTTTCACAAATACCGGTGAGGACTACGTATCGAGCCTGCAATTCCAGATATCCTCGGTATGGCCTACAAAGTACGGAATTCTCCTCGAGAAATCCCAGGCGCCAGTTGCCTCTCGTTACACCTCCCTGGAAGCGAGCAGATGGGCCCAGCAGCCCGATCCAAGCCTCCCCACAGCTTTTTCCCTGACCCACCCGCTGGACGAGATCTGTCCCCTCCTGATGAAACACGGAAGCATTAACTACATGTCAGAGCCAAGCCAGCAGATAGTCTTCACGTCCTCCAGTCCTTCCTTGGCAGTGGTCTACGACACAAAAACAGGTCTTCATTCAGTCTACAAGATCAGAAAAGCCTCCGCAGAGGAGAGACAAGTAGTCTGTGGCACAGGGGATATCACCCCAAGTCTCTTCAACCACTCGACAAGTGCCTCTCCTCTGCACCTCCCTGGAAATGCCTCCGGGAACAAAAGCTGCAGTACGAAGACCCACTTAAGCCTCTTCGGTGTCCCCAATCCCCAGCTGAGTGGCATGGGGATAAGTTTGGGAATGTCGAACAGTCCATTCGGCTCCAGAGGCACCTCCTACACGACCTCCTGCTCCGGAGGTGCTCCATCTCCCCAACAGCACCAAACAACTCACTCGAGATCCCAAAGTCCCATGGCAACGATCTCTCGTTGTCAGTCCCCCACCCATCCAACGTTTTCTCCACTAATTGGTGGCTCTCTGGGCCCCATAATCCACCAGACTCGTCTTCACCAGACTGTAATGGCCACCATCATGTGTCACTCTCAACATAATCCCAGCAGCTGCAATAGCTTTCACTTTCAAGATGCTCCAGTCACATCTAGCAATCCCCTGTACCCAGAGATCTGTCTGGATCACGTGTGGACAGAGAACTCAGGGGTTCCCAAGGAAGTTCCATCTGGAAAAGCCTCCAAGGTGCTTCTCACGTCAGATCTCGTTGGCCAGGGATACCTGGGGTACCTCGTGCCCTCGAGGTCACAATTATTTCTAGTAAGAATCGAAAAAACCAACAAACAACAGGAAATTATCTTCGGTATGGTGGCGAGTATCGTCGCTAAGGATGCTGTCAATCTGCCATCGATTAACATGATTGCCACCCTGGATCTCTCCAATGGAGTAACACTGTACTCCGGTGTCACCTGTGTCGGGAAAGTCCACATTCCCAGCTTCCACCCTGCAATAGGCTGCAACTACTTTACCAGCAATTTGGGACCTAAACTTGTGAGCTCACCCTTCCCGAAGAGGAGCTCCCTGAATGCTCACCATGTTGGAGGGGATATAAAATTCGACGAGGCACTGCACACTCTGAGTCCTGTGGGCACCTGTGGAAGACCCTCGATGCTCATGGATAATTCCCTGCACGAGGCAGGATTAATAGGACTCAAAGATGCTGTTGGAAATAAGATAACACTCGAGTATGGAAACAAGAGCTTCTACAGAATTTCATTACCTACCTCGAGCACTTCTCCACTGGTCACCAAGTGCCTCAAGGCCCTGAGAAGTGTTTTACAGCGTGATCTTGCTATGCAGCTCCTGGTGAAGTGGTATGGGGCGAGAAATGCCCCAGGGCCTCAGGATTTCTCATTGTCTCAAGAGTGGCACCTGTTTATTGTCGTTTTATTTACCCTTTTGGGATATGACGTTGATAAATTGCCTCTTGTGAGGAGAAACGATGGTGATGGGTGTGCCGAGAGGAGCAGTCCTATTGTTGTACCCAAGAAGCAGAAAACCAATGACTCAGGATCACAGGAGGACTGGCTGAATATTCTGACGTCTCAGGAGCACAGAAATTATCAAAATCTCGTGGTGAATGTTCTTCGTTTGAATAAGTCTGTAGTAGTGAAGCCTGTGGCCATTACAAAAGGGGATCGCGAAGCCTCCGGGAGGATCAGCACTCAGGCTATACTATTTCCTTATTTACCTTTGGTCCTCTTCTCCCTTCATCTGCTGTATGAAGAATTGAAACTCAACTGTGTTATGTCTGAGAGCCTTCCTCTCCTCGCTCAGCTGCTCCATCAGCTCAGCACTGATCTCAACTTCAATATGTACTCACATCATTATTTTCTTGATCACCCTGGTCATTGCTTGGACTCTGGCTCCTCACAGATTACTCCTGGGGATTTACAGAAGATCACTCCACCCAATTATATGCCCGTGAAGCCACCCAGTGTTTTTGAGACGTTGTATCAGTTACTGAACACTGGAGAAACACTGGCTTATCCTCATCTCAGTCGGGTCAATCCCAGGTCTAAAGGCATTGTCCAGTTGGTGGCCTTAATTGCTAATGAGGGGAGGGTGACGTCCCTGGAGATGGAGAAGTTTGTCAAGCTCATTGTACCGGCAGGTAGTCGCGTCGATTACAAGGAGACTGGATTCAAGGCTGATAAGGATGTGTCAAAGAAGGTAGAGATACCCAACGCTGACCGGATAGTTCTTCTCTATCACGAGATGGGCATGTCGAAGAAGGACTTGGAGACTCTTCCCCCAGGAGTTGCCCTTCTCCTGAAAGATGTGATGCATCGTTGCAGAGAGAGGCCTCCATCGACGTGGCCAACTCAGGCATATGAATTGATAGATCGTCAGGATCTGGCGACCCTCGAGAAACACCTGCAGAGCCTCCCCCACGGGCAGGAGACCGACTCGACTCCAACCTCGATCCGCGACCCTGAGCAAGACGACGGCATGACCTTCGACGATGAAATCCTGAAGTTGCGCTTTAATAAGGATCACCGAGTCTCAGAGGTGCGTCGTCTTCTCAATTCCTCGAAACCCGTGAAGATATCAATCGTTCAGCGCCCAGAAGTCTCGGATCACGAGTTCATTGAGGAGCAGGAGCGGCATCTGCATGCGTTGTGCTCAAGAACAATGGCTCTGCCAGTGGCCCGAGGGATGTTTACCCTGAGAACATCAACTCCCATCGTAACCGAGCAGCTTCCGGTGCCTAGACTGTGTCTCACAGGAAAAGCTGCCCTCCGAGGTACCACAGTCGAGCTGTCACACATCGATGTACCCCCGAATATGAATCTCTGGCCACTATTTCACAATGGAGTTGCAGCAGGTCTCAGGATTCACCCAGACGCCTCCAATATTGACTCCACTTGGATAGTCTACAATAAACAGCAACAGGGTGAATTTGGAATCGAGCACTCAGGCTTCCTGATGGCCCTGGGGCTCAATGGTCACCTGAAGAAACTCGCTCCCTTCAGCATGTACGAGTACCTGGTGGAGTGTCACGAGTCAACAAACGTGGGACTCCTCTTGGGACTATCGGCGACTCACCGAGGGACAATGGACGTTTCCATGACGAAACTCCTCTCCCTCCACGTGGAGACACTCCTACCACCGACGAGCATCGAGCTCAATGTCCAGCAGAATGTCCAGGTGGCTGCCCTCATGGGTGTGGGTCTCGTCTACGAGGGCACAGCCCACAGACACATCTCCCACGCTCTTCTCTCGGAGATAGGAAGGCCCCCAGGTCCTGAAATGAAAAACTGCGTGGATAGGGAATCCTACTCCCTCGCTGCAGGCCTCGCCCTGGGGCTAGTTGTCCTTGGAAGAGGTGGAGGGGCTGATTTGGCGAGCATTCCTGATACTCTCCACTACTACATGGTTGGGGGCAACTCGAGGCCCTTCACCGGTGCCCAGAAGGAGAAATATAAATCACCCAGCTATCAGATTCGAGAAGGCGACTCCATAAATATCGATGTCACCAGTCCTGGTGCAACCGTTGCCCTCGGTCTCATGTACTTTAACACGGGTAATCGAGCTGTTGCCGAATGGATGCGAGCCCCTGGCACTCAGTTTCTCCTGGACTTCGTTAGACCTGATCTTCTCCTGCTGAGAATTCTCTCCAGGTCTCTCATCCTCTGGGACGAGATCGAGCCAACCAATAGCTGGGTATCCTCCCACGTTCCTGATATCGTTTATAAATATAGACTGCAGAAGCCAACGTCAGAGATCGCTCAGAACGTCGACCTGGAGACGATGAATCAAGCGTACTGCAATATCATTGCAGGTGCATGTATGGCACTGGGACTCAAGTACGCAGGGAGTGCCAATGATAACGCCTTCAAGATTCTTTTAAATTACGCTAAAATGTTTACGGCTTTGTCTCACAAATCGATTGGAGAGCTCGCTGGAAAATCGACTATTGAAACTTGTCTCAATGTTACGTTACTATCTGCCTCTGTGGTGATGGCAGGAACAGGAAATCTCGATGTCATGAGAATCTGCAGGCAGATCAGAACGAGGGTGGGACCAGCATCAAGTGTTGTCACTTATGGATCCCATCTGGCAACTCATATGGCTCTGGGACTGCTGTTCCTGGGGGGTGGCAGGTACACACTGTCCAATAGTCCGAGTGCAGTGGCTGCTCTGATTATTTCATTATTCCCCAAATTTCCAACACACAGCAATGATAACAGATATCATCTCCAGGCACTGAGGCATCTCTATGTCCTCGCTGTTCAGCCCAGGCTTGTCCTCCCCAGGGATATCGACAGCAGGGTACACTGTTATGCCACTTTGAAATTGACATTCAGGTCGGAGAAGCTGGAGAGGGGCCAGGAGGTAATCATGAAGGCACCCTGTCTCCTACCACAACTCGAGAGCCTCCAGAGGGTCGAGTTGAAAGACGACAGGTACTGGGAGATTGTATTCGAGAGGGGACACAACTGGCAGCTACTCGAGGGAATGCTTGATAAATGTGACACACTCGATGTCAAACAAAAAGCTGGCTGTCTACCTTATGTGGAGGATCCTCAGGGTTTTAGGAGTCTCGTTGCGCAGACTCTCACAACTGAAAATGTCATCCCCTGGGCTGCACGACAGGAACATGTTACCAGTTTTACTAATGACAGAACTGTATTGAATATTGTCAAGTATTTCCTGCAAAAAAGAGCGAGGGAGACTGTGGAGGAGAAGAGTGAGTTCTCGGGGGTGAGCAAAATCAGCTCCGGGTATGTCTCTAAGAGCTTCGGTGATAGTCTGTCGGAGAAGATGGAAATCGGGGAGAACTCATCACCTGTCAGAAATCAACAGGGTCTTGTTAATATTCAGGATGAATTCAGGGAGATGTCAGAGAGCGAGAGGTACTTCCTCCAGACTCTCGCTATCATTGTTTATGAATGTGTTATCAAGGATAAGGTGAGCTTGCTGCCTCTCTGGGTGAATTTGTATAAAAGTGTTGAGGTCAGTGAGAAGAGACCGAGCAATTATCTCATTTGGCAGATCAAACTCGTCGCCGCTCATGTTCTCACCAGGTGTCAGGTGGAGGATTGTAATGCTCTTCTCAGTGTTGAAAGTGTTCTCGCTATCAAGCAAAGGGTTTCACTAATTCTGGATATGTGGGAAGAAGGTAAATATTATTTATTTCATTTCTCGATTAAATTCCATATTTCACTCATTTTATTTCTGATTTTTTAGATGTCAAATGAAATTTGAAGAAAATTATTTATATTTATGTTCGAGTAATTTAAACAATTGTTTTCTTTTTGCATTGGAAATGATTTTCAATTAAAGGGAATTATGTCTGATTTGTTGCAGAATTACGGCCAGTGTTGAAAAAATACATTGAAACCGGTGCAATCAGTGGCGATGTAGAAACCATGAGGAAATTCACAGCCTATTGCACATATTACGATATTCCATATACGAGTGCACCTTCTGGAATTGTTGACTTGAATCCTTTTAATCTTCAACTCCCTCTGCCCGAAGTAACGCTGTACAAATTGTATAAATTGGGTGAGAGTTGAAGCGAGAGATTGCAATGAAATTTTTATTATCGAAATATACACACAATCACAGTTTTCTCTCATAGGAAACTACCCACTGTAAATAGTTCACATTTGTACTAGTTGTAAGTGGTGTTATAAATATATTTTTCACAAAAGAAATGTTTTTTTTTTGTTCAACGAACAAAGGAAGATTTTCACTTATATCTGTGGAAGAAACTGTTTCATAATGAAAAGAAAATAAAATTATAAAAATGTTATTAGGTATTATTCTTTAAAGTACAAAAAGTGCATTTGAATTTATTTGCATTAAATTCGTAACGAATAATTAAAAAAACGGACATAACGAAAATTTTGGAAATATATTTTACCCAGGTATTTCCCTGGAGTAAAAAATCAAAAGACTGATCTTCTCCTGTAGAAGGCTTCTTCATGAATGATAGGTCTTCCAGTGATGGAATTGATCCTTGCGTCGATGAAGCTCCCAACGGAGGTGTAGCAGTACAAACACCCGACGAGAATGCCCCCCAGGTGTCCCACGAACGAGGCATTTGGCACAAGCAGATGAATTATAACGAGTTCTGCCCATACAGCGAATTTGCTAGGCACCCTGAATCCCCCGATATTGTGAAGCCTGTCATGCTCCTCACAGACGACGATGACCTTCAGAGCGAAGAGCACTCCGGAGAATCCGATGGCACATGTCGTCATGTAACCGTAGTCAGCGGTTATCTGGGTAAGAACGTAGGATAGGCCAACGTACATGGCACTACAACACATCGAGATAATTCCCAAGAGAATTCCAAAATTACTAGTGCCATACATCGGCTCCAGGTAGGCACCCTTCAGCAAAAATGATATCATGTTGTAGTACAGGTGCATGTCAGAGCCATGCTCGAAGTTAGACACGAAGAAGGACCTCCAGTCCTTGTACTTCAGGATCTTAACTGCTGATATGCAGACATCCTCGGAATTCCATGGAACTTGGACGACTCCTATGTACAGCAGAGCCTGTGGTATCATTTTATTATTAATTATTCACCAAGAGTAAATTAATCTCATTATAGAGTAAATTAAAAATCATTTACTTGTCCAATAATCGCTGCCAGAGTAACCGGTGGAATTTTCTCAATCCCATAATTCGCTGCTTGCATCCCTAACAATACCAGACCGTATTCTAACCCCTGTTGTCTTCTCCTGGCTGGTCTCATGTCGGAATATTATTAAAAATCGGTCATGAACTGTCAATTCCTTCCACAAAACCTGTACACTGCTGTCAATCCGACTGTCGTTGCACTTTGGCATTTGAACGTTTGATTGTTTCTGGGAAAAGACTCGAAAATTGTCTGTCACATCCACTGATATAACAATAGATATATATACATCAGAATATATGAAGCATCACGTGGACCAATCAAGTGGCCGCCAATGTGCCATGCGCACTGACCTCAATTCAAATCTCGTTCTCGATTTTTCGATCAGATTTAACCAAAAGGTGATAACAATTGATAAAATTGCGGTATGATTTCGTTGGAAAAAATCGCACGATTTAATCGGTATAAACAAATTTTGTGGGACTCTCGATTTGATTGATTTTTGTAGGGAGGAAGGAGAAAATTTGGAAAGAATACATTTTGTACTAATTTTCAACTCATTTTATTTGTTTTAAAAAAACGATAAAAAATAAACGTACATTCATAAAGCGTTACAAGATCTCCGAATGACAAAAACCTGAATAAATTAACACAATGCAACAGGACACCCAAGGGGAGCCACACATCTAAAATTGCTCAACTCCTCACACGTGTAGAAAAATTTAATGGAAAAATCTGACACATACTCCAAAAGATTCTATTAAATTTTCCCTCGAACTCTGTAATAATTTAATTGAGACTGTATTGAGTAGTTCAGTAAAATAGACATAAGTCGAATAATTCCCCAAGAATGAAAAAAATCAAATAAAATTGCCTGACTAATGCGATAGATTTCCACTCGATTTTTCTCCACGAGAATCAATAAATATAAAATCTCAAAAAATAATAAAATCCCTCCCTCGTCAGCTGGAAAATCCTGGATTAGTGTGTTCAATGACACATCGTCTGCAGTAGCTCTTGACCGCTCTGTAGCCGACTTTGGTGACCCTGGGGCACTCTCCGATGTTGAGTTGCCTGAGACCCCTGATGTAATAGGCGAGTGCCTCGAGGCCAGCATCGGTGACCCTCTCACATCCACAGAGGGAGAGTTTTTTCAGATTGGGACAGCCAGTGGATAGGGCCTCGAGGGTGGGATCCCCCACGTCGCACTTACCCAGGTCGAGGGCCCTGAGTCTGGGACAGCCCCTGGCGAGGGCGATCGTGGCAGAGTCGCTGAGGGCCTCACAACCCCGAGCATTTAAATACCTTAACTTGTAGCAGTGCCTGGCCACCACGAGAAGTCCAGCATCAGAGACTCTGTCGCATTTTCCCACCGAGAAGTACCTGAGGAGGTAATAAATTAAATAATACTTAATGGTGATTCTCAAGGGTTATTATTTTGCAAATACATTTTCGGCCAAGACTGACCTGAGGGACGGCCCTAGCCTGGCCGCCAGCTCTCGCACCCCGAAATCAGTGAGTCTGCAGCAATCGGATACCGAGAGCTGTCGTAAATTGGTGCAGTAAGAGGCGACGGAGACGAGGCTGGCGTCAGTGATCCTGAGGCATCTCCTCAGATGGAGGAGTGCAAGCTGGGGCATCTGAGAGAGGGTCATCACGAGGCCAGAATCATCGACGCTGTGACAGTCACTCATATCAAGGGACTCCAACTGCGTGGGCCCTACGTGGCAGTAGGCACGTGTGATATTTCCACATCCTGTGATGTCCAGCTCTTTGAGGTGCACACAGTTGTCGAGAATCGTCGAGACATTCATGTCCGTGAGCTTGCGGGAGTGACGGAGAGCCAGGGATGTCAGGCTGGAGAATGGCAGCAGGGAGAAAGCACCTGTGAAACCCGTCGACCCCTCGATTACGAGCCTCCGGATTGACGAGTGACAGCCCCTTCGTGCCATTGATCTCAGGGCTGTCGTTGCATTTTGCGGGTATCGAATTTCCACTTCACGCCAGAGTGATGGATGCCACGCGATTTCCCAGAGTCGTCTGCACGTCTGCGCCAGGGTGCAACGATCACGTGTAGACACCCAGTGAAGAATCTTCAGGAGAATTTTGTCCTCAAGTTGGGTGAGAGTTGTTGGTGTCAGGGAGAAACGCTTGTGCTGGGGGTGGCCTCTTGGTGAGGGTATCGATGGTGACGAGGAAGATCTGCAGGGATTGTTGTCGAGTGTGTGATATCCCAGGTCGATCGAGTCCGAGGCTGAGGGCGAGTACAGCGACAGCTTCTGCAGCTGGTGGCTGATCGCACGATCCGTGGCGACGAGCAGGGGGTACGGGCTATCCATTCCATTATTTTGTCTGGGGGAAGATAAACATCTGGTGGAATTTTTTCACCCAGTCGTTAAAGAAAAATCGAAAAAATCGAATTTCAATGGATTTTTAAAAGAAATTATTATACTCCGATTTTTATCACCGCCAAGAGTGCCTTTGAATTCAACTGAAATTAATTATATTTATATTTAATTCCTATTGTTTATTTCTGTAAAAAATCGGAAATGTGTATAAAAGAATGGAGTAATTAATTAATTAATAGAGGTAATTAAATGATCGGTGGAATGTCAGTTACAAGCGTATGTTTCCGACTTGATTGTCTCGATCGCCCCAAATAAACAAGAACTTTCAGATCAGCAGAGATAAAAATTCTCGATGAACTTTCATAAAATCCCTTTGTCCGATTCAACCCGCGAAAAAATAATCAGAATACACGAAAAATAGTGTTTGCATTACCTTAATCAAATTAGAAAGGACAATGACCATCGGCGATGCATGACATAACTCAGTCTTTCCGTGACAATCACCACCATCTTGATCTTACATTCCAAATATAAGTTTCAACCAGTTGGAATGTGGCCTCTGTACAAGTCCCCGTTCACTCTGAACCCCCGTCATCCAGGGCAAAATCACCTTCTGCCGTTGAGCCTCCCTTCCCCAAATTCTGATTCCACTAGAGTCCCGGTAATTCAGGGCCTGATGGGCCAGTACCCCAATTCAATAGCCATTTAATTGAATTCGAGACGGAAAACAAGCGGTGATTCACGTAGATGCGGGTGTCAGGATGTCACTTATCGCCCGAGAAGGCCCGAACCGATCTAGCCCGATTCTCCGTGGTGGGGGATGCTGGGCCCTTTCTTGGGGCCCATTCCCAATGCGCATGCGCTGACAAGTCGATAAATTGCCCTCAGGGGGTCGCGATCTTTAAGAGGCAGTGACCTATGCCTAGAGACCCCAAATTGCTGGATATTTTTTATTGTCGATTTAACATTCCGATGACTGCGGGAGGTCTGAATAATTATATCAATTGTGAAAATATCATTAATTGATGAATTAGTATCTGATACGAGGAACATAAAAAATTCCTCGAAGGAAATATTATCCTTGCAATGGGGACAGTTTAATGAATTTAATTTATTTAATTTTCTATTGAATTGTTACTAGACAATGAAATTGTTAATGCCGTTCAAATTTTTCCCACTCTAAAGCAATAACTATTGCCGCCATCTGTTATTGTAATATGAAAATATAATTTTCATACGCCTTAATAAAGTTGGGAAATTCCACTTTTTATATTTTTAAAAATATCTTGGAAATTAGAGGTTCTATAAAAAAAAGTGACTAGTCGTTTTTGTAGTCCATAAAATTATCTAAAGAAAATGTTTTTTATCATTTGTCTGTAAATCCACGGGTTAGAGAAATAATTTAAAGGTAATAATTTAAATGCACATCACGTGCTTGAGCTGTCGATCACGCAGAAATCTGGAGCACATCCACGTGCTTTTTTTATTAATAAATAAATTTTCTTGTTTAGAGGAATATGCAATCAATATCTTCGATGACGTCCTTGAGATTAGGTAATGTTGAATTTCGAAAGAGTTTTTGTACCCCACGAGTTACCCTGCAGGCCTGATAAAGATGTTTGCCGTTTTTCTATAGGATAAACATAATAATTCGATAGGAGAAACGAAATAATTCAGTTTCAGAGAGATTTCAGTGGGGACTCACTGATACTCAAACCCTCAGACACTTGTTGAACTCGACATCGTGCGCACATTTTCGGAACCGGTCTTTCGAGTATTTTCGGATATTTCGTCAATTTATTGCGAAGCTGTTTTTTTGATATTATTCAGGGGATAATAATCTCATCATGGCTGGAAATTTGGGTGAGATATTCGAACTTTTTATAGTTGAATCCCATAAAAATCTCTGGAAAACTACTGGAGTATTCTCACGAGGAATTTAGAGATGGCCTTGAAATTATTTTCGATCAATCACTGTTAAGCCTACATCATTTTATTTTAAGAAAAACTTTCATCATAATTATTCGAAATGTTCTACTCTTATATTTGATATTTTATGAATGAGAAGAATATTGAATTGAAGTGCCGAGCACGTGTCGAATAGATCGAACGAATAAAAAAGTCTCAATTGAATTTATTTCTCAGCCCTGTTAAGTGTATCCGACAAGACGAATCTTCTGCCCTTCGCCAAGAAGCTCAACGAGTTCGGATTGACATTAGTCGCCTCTGGAGGAACTGCAAAATCTCTGCGAGAAGCTGGACTCTCCGTTAAGGATGTATCTGATATCACTGGAGCTCCAGAAATGCTGGGGGGACGTGTCAAGACCCTCCACCCCGCCGTCCACGGCGGTAAATATGACCGAAAAAATTTTTAATCCAATGAAAAAATTCCTCGCGAATAGCAACTACAAATGTCTTTGGAAAAAAATTTCAGGGAAAAATTTTGAGCAATAAATATGATTAGGGAAAAGATGACGATGTAATGATCGACTGAGAGAAATTTTTCAGGGATCCTGGCGAGACTTTCTGATTCCGACAAAGCGGACATGACCCGCCAGCACTTCGACTACATTCGAGTGGTCGTTTGCAACCTCTACCCTTTCGTCAACACCGTCAGCAAGCCCGATGTCGCAATCGACGATGCAATTGAGAATATTGACATCGGTGGAGTGACGTTATTGAGAGCTGCCGGCAAGAATCACGCCAGGGTCACGGTAATCTGTGACCCCAGTGATTATGAAAAGGTCATCAGCGAAATGGAAATATCCGCTGGTAAAGACACATCTCCAGTGACAAGGTACATTGACATTTCCCAAAATAATACCCTCGATCCATGGATCAGTTCCCCATTCGCAATTAATTCAACTGATTATAATTCTGAGAGTATTTTTTAAACGCTTTCTTTGAATTTTCTGATGACTCCAGGCAACAGCTGGCCCTGAAGGCCTTCACCCACACCGCGCAGTACGACGAGGCAATATCCGATTACTTCCGCAAGCAATACAGCTCAGGAATCTCCCAGCTGTCCTTGCGCTACGGTATGAATCCACACCAGAAGCCAGCCCAAATTTTCACAACCCTGGAGAAGCTCCCCCTGACCGTGGTGAACGGTTCTCCAGGCTTCATAAACCTGTGCGACGCCCTCAACGCATATCAACTGGTAAAAGAGCTGCGCTCAGCCCTTAATCTCCCAGCAGCAACATCCTTCAAGCACGTGAGCCCAGCTGGAGCAGCTGTTGGAGTTCCCCTGGATGCTGTCCAGGCGAAGCTGTGCCAGGTGGACGACCTGATAGATCAGCTGACACCCCTGGCGACTGCATACGCGAGAGCACGAGGGGCAGACAGAATGTCATGCTTCGGGGACTTTGTCGCCCTCTCGGACACTTGCGACGTACCCACAGCCAAAATCATCTCCAGAGAGGTATCTGATGGGATCATAGCCCCTGGCTACACCCCCGAGGCCCTCGAGATTCTCAAGAAAAAAAAGAATGGAGGCTATTGCGTCCTCCAAATTGACCCCAATTACGTTCCCACACCCGTGGAACGCAAAACTCTGTTTGGACTGACAATGGAGCAGCCCAGGAACAACGCAGCCGTTGATAAAACCACTTTTGATAATCTCGTTAGTAATAATAAAGATTTGACAGACTCTGGGCGCAGGGATCTGATTGTTGCCATGATTGCTGTCAAGTACACGCAGAGCAATTCTGTGTGCTACGCCAAGGATGGGCAAACCATCGGTATTGGAGCTGGACAGCAGTCCAGAATCCACTGCACCCGATTGGCAGGTGATAAAGCTGACAACTGGTGGCTCAGACAGCATCCCAAGGTCACGGGGATGAAATTCAGGAAAGGGGTCAAGAGGGCAGAAATCTCCAATGCTATTGATAATTATGTTAATGGCTCTGTGGGAAAGGACATGGATCGTAAACAATGGGAGGCCTTTTATGAGGTCGTGCCTGAAATGCTCACGGAGGACGAGAGGCTGCAGTGGGCTAGGAAACTCGAGGGTGTCGCTATTGGAAGTGACGCATTCTTCCCGTTCAGGGATAATGTGGATAGAGCTAGACTCAGTGGCGTGAAATATATCGCTAGTCCAGCTGGTTCCACCAATGATCATGTTGTGATCGAGGCATGCAATGAGCATAACATCATCTTGGCGTACACTGAGCATCGCTCCTTCCATCACTAATTGAATCATTTGAAAAATGTATTTTTAATACGTTGATATTATGAATAATGTGTAATTGTGTACGGCTGTTTATTAATAACAACATTTCTATATTCTGAATTCTTTTTAGACATGGTACAATTATAAAAATATAACATCGAACTTCGTGTAAAGCATTTCTAAACATTCTTAAATAATTTATCAAAATGAATAGAATTCACGGGGGAATTCCCACTCGTTTTCCCTTCGATACAAAAATCATTCCATTTTAATACAGAATGTAATGGCACATTCGATTTCAGTTTGGAACGTCAACGTATTTGAGCTTTTTTAATACTTCAACCCAACTGCCGGACAAATATTTATAGAAAATATCGCACTCGTGTATGACAAATTCAGAAGTGGAAGATTAGTGTGGAGCGATTATTAGTACAGTATAAAAATTGCGTCTGACGCTGAATATAAATTAATAGTGAAGAGGCAAAACGCAATGAGTGACGTTTTGCCCCTCTCCTATTAGTTATCGAATCGTTGAGATGAATTACGGAGTTTGGTGAGTTCTTCAGGCCTGAAGACACCGACTTCGGTGATAATTCCTGTGATGAGACTGGCTGGTGTAACGTCGAAGGCTGGATTCCAGCATTGAATGCCAACAGCTGCGATTCTTTGGTCATTCAAATGTGTCATTTCCCTGTCTGGTCTCTCCTCGATGGGTATGTGGTCGCCTCCTGGAATTCTGAAGTCGATGGAGGTCTGAGGGGCCGCCACGTATAATGGCACCCCATGGTGCTTCGCAATTATAGCAATCTAAAGAAAAATAAGAATCTTAAATACTCGAATTAACACCTATAATATTCTCATGGTTTAATCAATTGCTCTTATGTACTTGATATGTTCCAATTTTATTAGCAGTGTCTCCATTGGCGGCGACCCTGTCTGCTCCCACGACAACAGCTGATATCGGCCTAGACTTCATCAGGGCGGCCACCATATCGTCGCAGATGAGGGTACCTGGTATTTTATCGTGCACAAGCTCGTAGGCAGTCAATCTAGCTCCCTGATTGTAGGGTCGAGTTTCAGTACAATACACGTGCTCTGTCGAACGTGCAATTATTCAATTACCTCATCATCGAGAAATTACTTGATCGGTTTAATTAACGGAATGGTTCGATATTGTTCTGCGCCAGACGAATAAAAACTCATAAAAACTTCAATAATAATAAAATTCCTCGCAATTAGAAATTGATAAGAATGAAATTACCAAGCCTATTTTTATCGTGGAGGGACCTGACAACTCCCAGTGCAGTACCATATCCGGCAGTGGCTAGTGAGCCAGTATTGCAGTGAGTGATGACCCTCACCAGATTGTCCTTAGGAATGTTCTTGAGTATCTCCTTAGCCCCGAAATCCCCAATGGCCTTGTTGTCAGCTATATCCTTCTCCAGCATCGAGTCGATTTTCTTGAGAAATCTAGAATCAACAGCGTCTCATATGATCTTCTTTCAATCAAGAGATAAAATCAGAGATAAGAGATGTTTACTGTTCGGTCATCTGACTGATAGTGATGCTGTCGTCCTTGCTCAATTTGTTGGCGAGTTCGATTAACTCCTCAGTTGCTATTTTTATGTTGACAGCTGTGGGTCTTGCAGACACGAGGTAATTCAGCTTTCCCTCGATCTCTCGTCTCAAGGTACATTTATCTGGGTACTGTTCATTTTGGAGCTCAACTGCTAGACTCAGACAGCCCACGATGGCTATCGCAGGAGCTCCGCGTACCTGCAAATCATTGATTACGAAATCATTCAGAAAGTATTATTTCTCAAAAAAATATATCTCCCAAAAAAATGGAGATATTACCCCTCGACTCACAAGAATTGCGGGTGCATTTAAATGTATTTAAATAATCCCCATTTTTTTTTTAAGAACCAGTGCAAATCCTAGGTTATGTGTTGATTCATCAACAATCAATAGAATGCATAACCTTCAACAGAATCCGAAAAAATTGAATAATTCAACAATTCCCGGTAATTACCTGCATTTTATTGATGACCAACCAGCCATCCTCGACGCCTCGCACCGGGACATACCTGGTGATAGCTGGAAGGAGAATTTGATCGAGTACTTCGAGCTTTCCATTCACCCATTTGATCGCCTCGAGAGCCATCCTATTCCCCAAACACTGTCAAAATCTCCGGCAGATGAAAAATTATGCTACGCACTTGGTACAATTTTGATAAAGTGACTATTTCATCTGCCTCAGCTCGATGTGCAATTGGTATTTTAGTTGTCTCGTTGTGGAGAGCGGGAAGGGCGGTATTTCGTCGTGGTTCACGTGGCTAGATAACGAGACGACCAAGAGAGGAAGACTTTTGCCTCAAATATTCGCTGATGCTTACGTGATTCCGTGATTCTCAGCCGTTTTTCCTTCCATATTTGCCGGTGAATCACGTGACCAACCAGTGCTATTTTTCACTGGTTAAAATTCCTTACTCCCAATCTTTCACTTACCCCCGTTTAAATCCAAATGATATCTCTATTTCAATTATTTTTTT